ATAACATCTATTGTTTTTAATTACAACAAAATACCCCAAGACCAAGACAATTAATTGTTGAAATAAATTGGGAACAAACAGAAAGACTCAGAGGCAAGTTTCTACGTCAAATAAACCCAAAAAGGAAGACTTGTTTATTTATTTAAAAAGGCAGGTGAAATTAAATAAATTAAATAAATATTTTAAGCTTAAAAAATAAAAAAAGAGAGAAAAAAATAATAATATGTATAACCATTTAGGAATAACCGGAAGCTGCTTAATCATACCAAAATCATACACTCACTAATAATGAAATTAATAAAAAATTTACTTGTCTAGTTACAAAAAAAAAATAACTACAAAATATAAATTTTAACTATTATATTGATTTCATAATATAGGGTTAACTATTTAAGCCATATAATTAGTTGTAACTTAAAACGACAGCCTCCTCATCATTAAATCGTTAATACACGTGTTAAAATTTGTTTTATGGCCATTTGTTGCGGTTCATTACTTAGGAAAAAAAAGGTTTTTGTGACTACTACTTCAACTTCTTATTGTTTATCTTCTCTAAGTAGCTGGAGGCTTATTAAAATTATATGTTTATAGGTAAAATTTTGAAGTTAATGTGCTAACGTCATCATTCGTCAACAGCCGTTTTTTTATGGTTATTTTTTTAACTTCGCTTTTGCCAGAACTGTTGGTCAAGGTTATGGCGCAAAATGCTACTTACTCTTATAAGATTTTATGCCGCTAAAACTTCAATGAAATGTAAATAAACAAGTAGTTTGTGATAATCTTTGTTAACCCTTTGAGGGTTGTAAGTAGTTTGAAAAGATAAAAAAGAAAGAATTGAACTCCTTAAAAGATCTATGATTAAAGCTAAGATCTACTATCATGATTATGGTTTTGCAGTACAGATACAAGCCGAGACGGCTCAAATCGGCGGCGGCTGGCCGCCTGTAATATTAAAATTGAGCCGACAATTTAGCCGCCGCCGATATTTTCTATAATAAGCCGCCGCCGCCGACTTAAAATGGTAGCGCCTTCGCCGCCAATCATTTTGCATCGGCTTGTATCTCTGTTTTGCAGTTAAAGCTTTGACAAGTCAAGCTTAGTAGGATTTTCGCAAGAAACCTGCGAGTATTTGTGAGTATTACAACTAATCTACGATTGCATGAAAATTATATTAAAAAGATCAAAGATAAAATGGTTGACAAAAGAACAATGAGTGATACTAAGGATCAGCGATCAAAGCTAAAATCTATAAACAAAGAGATCACTGGTTGATCGCAGCTAAAATTATTTGCAAATAAATGAGCGAACGAAGTTCAAACTGAATGCAAAAAGATCAGTGATCGAATCTAAAGTTGGTTGACAAAAAGATCAGTGATCATAGCTTAAACGATCCGTGATCAACGCTATCATTGTTTGATAAACAGTGATCAGTGATCGCATGTCCCACCTCTAGTTTAAATTTGCCCATAAAAAGATTAGTGATCGAATCAGAAACTAATTTACAAGGGATCAGTGATCAAAGCTGAAATGACAAACAAAAATATCAGTGATCAAAGCAAAGCTAAGCTAAGATCGTAGTTAAGATTGATTGCAAATAGACCATCGATCAAATTATCGAAGTTAAGTATTATTTTATAAAAAGTTTAGCTATCGAAGCTAAAATTTGTTGAGAATAAGAACAGTGAACACAGCTAATATTGGTTGTAGAAGGAGCTGTCTATGAATGTCAAAAGAATAAGTGGCAAAAATTGTTTGACAAAAGAAGATCTTCGAAGTTAATATTGTTTGACAAAAAGATCTGCGATCGACGTTAAAATTGGATCACAAAAGTAACAATGATAAGAGCAAAAATTGGTTTACAAAAGATCATTGATCCAAGTTTACATTGTCTGATATTTGTTGTCAAAATTATTAGTGATCAAAGCTAATAGTAATGGACAAAATGATCACTGATCGGATCGAAAGATTTGAGATTGAGACTAAACATAAAAAAAAACATTTATCGAAGCTTATATGGCTTGATAAAAGGATTTGTGTTGAAGCTAATATGTATTGTCTGATAAAAAGATCAGTGATCAATAACTTGTAGATGAAAATATCAGTGATCCATAACTGGTGGATCATAATATCAGTGATAAAACTTAAAATTAAATCAACAAAAAGATCATTTATTGAAATAAAAGGATCTGTGATCAAAAGTTATATTGTGATCGAAATGAAGATCAGTGATTAAACTTAAAATCCAAGTTAATATTGGTTGATAAAAGTATCAGTGATCAAAGTTAATATTAGTTCAAAAAAAGATCATTTATAAAGTTTAAAATTAGTTGATTAAAATATATACAATCCAACCGAAAATTTGTTAACAAAAAAATTATCAGTGATCGTGACCAAACGAAACTAAAAATTGTCAGCAAAAAATCACAAATCTATGAAAGTGTAAAGCTTTAATAAAAAGAATAATTAATAAACGATTCTCTAAAGATCAACCAATAACGCTGCGTTGAGTTTTTTGTAAAGATCACTGATCAATTTCATAATGATCTGTAATTGAAGCTAAAGCTGGTTTCAGTAACGACCAATCGCTAATTCTAATGAAGGGTGTATTAGATCTATAAAGGTCTACTATAATTGAATCATGAAGAGATCTTCGATGAAAGTTTAAATTGAAAATGATTTAAGAATGAAATGAAACAATGAACTGTGGAAAGTGCAAAATTTTGTAGAAGAGATCAGTGATTTAAGTGAAAATTGAACTCTACAAAGATCAGCTGTTGAAATTGGAATAGTGTACCTTAATGATCGAGTTTAAAATCTCATTCAGAAATGGATTGATAAGTGATCTTCGATTGAAGATAAAATTATAGTGTGAAAATATCAATGATCTATTCAAGAATGTATTGTAAAAAACTCAACGATAAGAGCTATGAAATGATCATCAAAAGAAGCTAAAAGCGGACTTTAAAAGCTCTCGATCTTCCGATGTTAAAAATAACTATTGAGAGAGTTTTATGATGTATAATAGAGATAAATCCTAGTCTTTTAACCATCTTATGTCGTAAGGAATCTAACGTAAGGTGATTTTGATACTAAATTGGAATACTTTTGATCCTAAGAGATCTTGATGATCTAGTTTGTTTTTCAACTCTTAAATCAAAATAGATATCGATACAAAAATCTTCGATTGAAGATGAAATTGGATTGTCGGACTATTAATGATCGCAGCGGGGAATAGATTATAAAAACTTATAAAAACTTGAACTATAATAGAGTTTAATGGTGTGAATTAAGTTATAATCTATAAAGATCTCCAGTTAAATTTTAAATATTTAAAATCGCAAGTAAACTTTTTTGATTACTGATTCAAGTGGTTCTAAGTGATCTTGATGATCGAGTTTGTTTTAGAACTCTTCAATCAAAATAAACATTGATTAATACATACAAAGAACTTTGATTGAAGATTAAATTGGATGGTAAAACTATCAATGATCAAAGCAAGGAATAGATTATAAAAACGTCAACTATAAAAGCTAAAGTGATCTTCGAGATAACCAAAAAGTTAACTAGAAAAGATCTGTGATCTTGCGAAATTAAAAACGAAGTGTTGAGCGTGTTTCATGGAGTATTATTAAGTTATAATCTATAAAGATCTCCAGTTAAATTTTAAATGTTTAAGATCGCAAGTGATCTTTTTCGATTACTGATTCAAGTGATCTTGATGATCGAGTTTGTTTTAGAACTTTTCAATCAAAATGGACATTGATTAATACATACAAAGAAGAACTTTCATTGAAGATGAAATTGGATGGTAAAACTATCAACGATCAAAGCAAGGAATAGATTATAAAAACGTCAACTATAAAAGCTAAGGTGATCTTCGTGATAAGCTAAAAGTAAACTAGAAAAGATCTGTGATCTTGCGAATTTAAAAAAGAAGTTTAGAAAGCTTTTCAAGGAGTATCACAAAGATAAATGAATAAAGTGCAAAGTCTATTAAGATCTACAGATCTAATATCGCAAGTGATCTTTATGATCAGTTAAGGGAAAGGCTACTAGGCGTCAAATATTTTTTTAAATTTGCTAATGTTTATGCCATTTTTCTATTATTTAATTAACTACAACAAATTTTAATTAAAATACTTGTTTCTATTTTAAAATGGGCATCAACAAGTGTAACGGTTTATTTTAATGAAATTTTTTATATTTAAATTAACACCGTTAAATAACGTTTTTGGCAAACAAACCCCTTTTCCCTTATAGGGTTAAGTTTGTTTATAAATTTGGCGTTGAATTCTCAGTTAAAGTTGTTTTGGTTTATTGATTTTTTTGTATATTTTTCTTTAAATTCGCATAAAACAAATTTGAAAAAAAACTAACCATAAATTTGCTGGTTTTATGTGTGTATGTAAAATCGTGTACTCACGCTTGATATTTATGGTTCATTGGTTAGTAGTATTTTTACACCATGCTACTTACTATCAATGGGTTTTTTAAGCCATTGATTGTATTGATATTAAAGACGAGATGTTATTCACCCGCATAATGTGAAGGTGTTTGCCAGTCAATGGTTTTGTTAACACTTGATTTTGAAAAACAAATTTTGAATTTAATATTAAATGCTTCTGAGTTAATGTGATCGAATAGAAATAAACAATTAAATGGCCAAACGCTTGTTGTTTTGGTCTTCAATTCCTTATTGAGAGTTGAGGAAAAAATATTCATTTAGTCAGTTTTGTTATGTCATTTTCTATTGTGATTTTATATTTTGCATTAAACTTTTGATCCGTTATTATTCTCTGTCGTGTGGTGTCATTGTCAAATAAGGTTTTTGACTTACTGTTACTGCGGTTTTGTTAGTATTATGCTCTACACACATACGCCTTTTTTAATTACAATACTTAAATAATTGTTAATGAGTTTAATAATAGTTGTTTTGTTTTCTTTATATGGATTTTGTTTATTTTTAGTTATTTGCTCAAGACTTATTATGCTCCACTTACCTATAAATTCATTTCGTATTCTAATGCGATCTTGTAGTGTAGCTGCCGAAATGATCACACAATTAATAAATGCCAAAAGGGCAACTTGATATTCAATCGTTGTTGTTTTTTCCAATTCGTTGATAACAATTTTAAAGCGATATCGTTCATTTTTGAGATTCTAGAAAGAAAGTAAGAGAGAAATGAGAGAATTAGTAATTGATTTTAATAATGGACATTTTTTCAAAATATTCCTGATCGTTGATCTTATAAACTTAAAGCTTAGCTTACTGAACTTTTTGTGATCCATTTTTAAGCTTCTGTTCTGGATATTTCTGTTAGACAGTAATATTAAAAATATTTTCCAACTAATTGTTGTCTCGATCACTGATCCTTTTGGTAGATTTTTATCTTAACTTAAAAAAATAGTTTAGAATTGTTTCATCAATTTGTATTTTCTATCACTGATCTTCTTGTGATCCTTTTATTGCCACGATCATTTAACATCTGATATTTTTCAACTAATTGTTGTCACGATCACTGATCCTTTTGGTAGATTTTTATCTAAACTTAAAAAAATAATTAGTTTAGAATTGTTCCTTCAATTTTTAGTTTCTATTACTGATCTTCTTGAGAACCCATTACTGCCACGATCGCTTAAATTCTGTACTACAAATTTTTGGTTTCGATTACTGATCGTATTATAATTTAAATCGTTAAACTTGTTATGGCATTTTTGACCTTAATTTTGGATCATACTGTTAATCAATTTTTGCTATGATCACTGATCCTTTAGTATTCTAATTTCCACTTTGATTGATGATCTTTTATAGGCTTTAATCGCAGAACTTCTTTCTATTTTTGATCATGTTTTCTTTCTATAATACAATTATATTGCTGGATCAAGGATATTTTTCGAAATCTATATTATTCGCAATCACTGATCGCCTTGATATTGCTACACATTTGATCCAATTTTTGATTCAATCTTGATTCTTTTTTTCCATAAGTTTTTGCTATGAGCGGTGATATTATCGTACTTCAATTTAAGCTTTGATCGCTGATCTTCATCTGAGGCAATTACTGCTTTAATTGTAAACTATTTATGCTCCCGTTTTAGCTCAAATCCAGGAACTTTCTATCACAAATGTTTGCATCGATCATTGATCTTTTTTCTAACATTGTTTTATTAAAGATCGTATAATATTTTAACGACTTATTTTAAGCGATTTTGGTTTTGATCGCTAATCTTTATAGCTTCAATCGTAATTTTGCTTCCATCACTGATCTTATTGAAAATCATTTACATATTTGATATTTTACTCAACTTTTGACTGAATTCATAAAATTTTTGCTACGATCACTGATCTTTTCGTAATTCAATTTCAGCTTTGATCACTTATGATTTTGTAAACCAATTATTGCTTTGATTATTAAGTTTTTATGTTAAAATTCCAATCCAGGATCTTTCTTTCAACAATTTCTGATCTTCTGATAATTTTCTCATTTCAAGTTTTAAGTGCTGCTTAATTTACTTAACTTTTCATTCTCCTTTCGTACTCCAGTTTTAGCTTTGATCACTGATCATTTGGAAATCAATTGCTTGTTATGCTTTAATCCACTTTCTCTCACACTACAATCTTTATTGATCAGTGATTTAAGTGAAAATGTAATTCTATAAAGATCAGCAATGGATACTAAATTGGAATACGTTCGATGCTAAATGATCTTGATGATCCAGATCTTTTTGTCCATAAAGTTTTTGCAACGATCACTGATCTTTGATCGTATTACAATTTTAGCATTGATCACTGATCATTACTGCTTTGATTGTTAAGATCTTCTTATCACTAATTTCTGATCTTCTTGTGAACCATTAATAGCTTAGATTGATGCATAATTTACTCAACTTTTAAATGAATTGGGGTTCATTAAGTCTACAAACTTTTTGCCACGATCAATTTTATCGTACTCCAATTTTAGCATTGATCACTGATCATTACAGCTTTGATTGTTAAGATCTTTTTGTACTCAAATTTTAGCTTATTACTGATCATTTGGAAAGCAATTTGCTGCTTTGATTGTAATGCTTTAATCCACGATCTTTCTCTTAACAATTTTTGCTACGATCATTGATCTCTTTATAATATATTATTTATTTGAATGATCTTTATAATTTGGTAAAAATTGTAGATTATTTTAACAACTAGTTTAAGTTTTCAATAATTTATTCTAAATAGTTTTATTCACTGATCTTTTTATGGAACAATTTTTATGGATGTCTTTTAGGGTTAATTATTGATCTTTAGCCAACAAGTTTGTGCTTCAGTGTTGTACTTTTTTTTATCCAATTAAGGACTTCAATCTTTAAACTGTCTTTACCAATCAATTTTAACTTTAATCCGAGATCTTTTATTAGGTTCAATTGGAGATATTTGTTTGGAGTTTGGAGCTTTAATCGGTGATCTTTTTTGAAGTTATGAAATATTTAATCGGTGATCTTTCTGTTGATCTTTTTGTACTCCATTACTGATCTTCATGGGAACCAAGTCTAATTTTATATTCAAAATAAAATAATCTATCATAGGTTTTGCTGTGATCACTGATCTTTTTATAATCCTGTTTTAGCTTCGATCACTGATCTTTTCAACGATTTGTTTTAGTTAAATTGTAGATTATTTTAATAAAAATGTTCAGTTTTATTTGTGGATATTTTGATAATAATATTTATACCCTACACCACTTAAGTGGGGAGGGTATATTGGATTTGTGCTGATGTTTGTAACATATAAAAATATTCGTCCTAGACCCACCTTAAAGTATACCAATCGGCTTAGAATCGTTTTCTGAGTCGATTAAGCTATGTCCGTCCGTCCGTCCGTCTGGCTGGCTGGCTGGCTGTCCATGTAAACCTTGTGCGCAAGCTACAGGTCGCAATTTTCAAGATAATTGGATGAAATTTGGCACGCATGTTTTATTTGACCCAAGGACGAAGCCTATTGAAAATGGTTAAAATCGGTCCATTATTTCACCTAGCCCCCATAGAACAGAACCCCCGAAAAGGGCTTCTGAGCTCATAATTATGTTAAATACGGCATAACTAAGTTTTATAGAAGTCTTGATAACCCTGCCAAATTTCATAAAGATCGGGCCCCATTTGACCCTAGCTCCCATACAAAGTCCCCTTCAGAAAATTACTTGAATGTCCCAAATTAACTTATAAACACAAATATCGCGATGAAATTCAGCACAATAAAATATTATGTAAATATAAATATATTCACAAAATTTTATCGGGCTTGGTCCATATTTGCCCCTAGCCCCCATTATAAAGCCTCTTTCAGAAAATTAGTTTTTCATCCATAAATTGCTTAAATGTATCGGAACAAGGGAATATTGAAGATAAATGCGATATTATGAAAAATAAATCACATTTAATATTCATAACTGGTGTAGGGTATCATATGGTCGGCCACGCCCGACTATACTTTCTTACTTGTTTATCTTTAATTGTAGCGTTTTTTATCGATCTTCTTTAGCTTTAATTATCGATCTTTGGTTATCCAAATTTGCTCAATCTTAATAATTCCAAAAAATATTAAAGGAGCGTGAAAATTGACTATTCCTAATTATAGATTTCAAACATGTCTGTGGATAAATTTATTTAAATTAATACAAAAAGCCGAACTTACCTTATAATATTCTAATGTTTCTATGGCACGAGCATAACCATCGGCATTATACGCACATAAAGCTGATAGTAATTCAAAGACTTGCTTCTTAACCACAACATTGTTCGTATCCAATGCGGTGCCTAATTTCGAAATATAATCACGATTTTCGACAATGTAATCCAGGCCGATGCGTGAGTCCATTGTGAATGAATGTTTTTGGTTTTAATTTTTGTGGGCCAAAAAGGAAGACAAGAGTTAGTGTCGCCACTAACTTGTACGAAAAAAAATAAAATAACAGCCCTTTTATGGATTTCCGTTTCGTATTAAAATAAATAGGAAAATAAATTGGTGTTAATAAACTTTAAATTCGAGGGTTTAAATTGTTGTCAATGACTGCGGCTGTTTAAATTTTTGTGTTAATTATATATATAGTTGTATTTTTTATGGATTTTTAATGTTTTGTCTTTTTTCTTTTTCTATAATTTTGTTGCAGTTGGTTTCTTTGTTGCAAGTAACAGCCAGCCAGTTGGTTGGTTGATAGGTTTGATGTAGAAGTTGAAAAACAATAAGGAACGTGTTGTCATTTAATGACGACTTGTTTAGAATTGTCAATTAGTGGTAATAATGCAATTGCATAAATTAACATGGTTGACATTTGTTAATATAGAGATTTTCTTCTTGTTGTTTTTGTTCTTTTTTTCATATTTTGTTTTTTTTTTCTGGTGGAAAATCTGTAAAAAGAAAGAGAGAGAGAGAGAGAAAATGTAATTAATTAAAGTATGTAATTGGGTTTTAAGTTAGTTAATTGAATAATAATTGTTTTAAAATTGTATACCTTATAAGTGACTAAATGACAGTTCCTTAAATTGTCTTAAATTTCACAAAATGTCAAGCTGAAAAGTTGTCATTAGTCAATCTAAACATTTCCTCAAGTTATATGTACGAATTCATTTAAAATGAAACAAGATTATAAAAAGATCAGTAATCGTAACAAAAATTTATCGCTACACGATCCTCTATATGATTGTAATGGAGTATGAAAAGAGATCAAAGCAAAATAGATTGACAAGAGTGAGTTGAAAATTGAATCAGAAATAATTTGCAGAAAAGATCAGATCGATCTAGAATTGAAGTCCCGAATATTTGTTGCTAGAAGATCTTCGAACTGATTGAAATTAACGTCTGAAAAGATCATCGATCGACACTAAATGGATTGACAAATTAAGTTAGAATAAGCAACAATTTGTTAAACAAATCAGAAATCTAAAGAAAAAATTGTTTCTAGTTAGATGTTCAATTGTAATATGAAAGGATCAGGTATCGATGCTTGAAATTAAAGTCTGAAAAGATCATCGATCGTCGCTAAATTGATTGATTGATAGATTAAGCTAAAATAGAATTAGAAACAATTTGTTAAAAAACATCAGCTATCGTAACAAAAATTTATAGCTAGAAGATCATTCATCTGAAGTTAGATGATGAAAAGATCTGTGATCAAAGCTACAATTATAAAGTTGAATTTAATTTAGAATAAATTATTTAAATAGATCAGCGATCGTAACTAAAATTTGTTATCAGATCGATCTACAATTGAAGTCTCTAAAGACCAGAATAGAGGCCTAAATTGAAGCAATCGTAACAAAAATTTATCGCTACACGATTCTTTATGTAATTGTATTGGAGTATGAAAAGAGATCAAAGCAAAAAAGATTGAAAAGAATAACTTGAAAATTGAGTCAGAAATAATTTACAGGAAAGATCAACGATCGTAACTAAAATTTGTTGCCATATCGATTTACAATTGAAGTCTGAAAAGACCTGAATATTTGTTGCTAGAAGAACTTCGATTGAAATTAACGTCTGAAAAGATCATCGATCGACACTAAATGGATGGACAAATTAAGTTAGAATAGAATAAGCAACAATTTGTTAGAAAAGATAAGAAATCGAAAGAAAAATTTGTTGTCAGTTAAATGTGTAATTATAGTATGAAAGGATCAGATATCGATGCTTGAAATTAAAGTCTGAAAAGATAATCGATCGTCGCTAAATTGATTGATTGATAGATTAAGTTGAAATAGAATCAGAAACAAATCGTTGAAAAACATCAGCGATCGTAACAAAAATTTATTGCTAGAAGATCATTCATCTGAAGTTAGATGATGAAAAGATCAGTGATCAAAGCTACAATTATAAGGCTGAATTTGATGTAGAATAAATTATTTAAAAAGATCAGCGATCGTAACTAAAATTTGTTATCAGATCGATCTACAATTGAAGTCTCTAAAGACCAGAATAGAGGCCTAAATTGAAGCAATCGTAACAAAAATTTATCGCTACACGATTCTTTATGTAATTGTATTGGAGTATGAAAAGAGATCAAAGCAAAAACGATTGAAAAGAATAACTTGAAAATTGAGTCAGAAATAATTTGCAGGAAAGATCAACGATCGTAACTAAAATTTGTTGCCAGATCGATTTACAATTGAAGTCTGAAAAGACCTGAATATTTGTTGCTAGAAGAACTTCGAACTGATTGAAATTAACGTCTGAAAAGATCATCGATCGACACTAAATGGATGGACAAATTAAGTTAGAATAGAATAAGCAACAATTTGTTAAAAAATATCAGAAATCTAAAGAAAAATTTGTTGTCAGTTAAATGTGTAATTATAGTATGAAAGGATCAGATATCGATGCTTGAAATTAAAGTCTGAACGTCAACGCTAAATTGATTAATAGATTAAGTTAAAAAACATCAGCGAACGTAACAAAAATTTGTTGCTAGAATATCTTTAATCTGATTACAGTTAGATGCTAAAAAGATCTGTGATCGAAGCTATAATTAATAGGTAAAAAAGTTGAATTTGGTTTATAAAACAATTTTTAAAAAGATCAGCGATCGTAACTAATATTTTGTTATCAGATCGATCTACAATTGTAGTCTGTAAAGACCAGAGTAGAGGCCTAAGTTGAAGATAGATTGGATTTAAAAAAGTCTAATATTTAAGCTGAAATAAATTGTTAAAACGATCGTAGCAAATATTTGTTGCTAGAAGATCTTCGATCTGAATGAAATGAAAGTCTGAAAAGATCATCGATCGATGCTTAATTGATTGATAAATTAAGTTAGAATAGAATCAGCCACAAAATTTTATTGCCAGTTAGATGTTCAATTGCAGTATGAAAGGATCAGTGATCGATGATTAAATTCAAGACAAATTGGATTAATAAAAATATATAAAATTTAAGCTGAAACAAGTTTTTTAAATGTTTTGCCAAAAGATCTTCGGAAGATCTTCGATCTGGTTGAAATTTTAGTCTGATAAGATCATCGATCAATGCTAAATTGATTGATAAATTAAGTTAGAATAGAATCAGCCACAATTTTTTAAAAACGATCAGAGATCTAAACAAAATTTTATTGCCAGTTAGATGTTCAATTGTTGTATGAAAGGATCAGTGATCTTTGCTTAAATTAAAGACAAATTGGATTAGTAAAAATATATAAAATTTAAGATGAAACAAGTTTTTTAAATGTTTTGCCAAAAGATCTTCGATCTGGTTAAAACTTTAGTCTGATAAGATCATCGATCGATGCTAAATTGATTGATAAATTAAGTTAGAACAGAATCAGCCATAAACGATCAGATCATAAGCGATCTAAATAAAATTTTGTTGGCAATTATATGTTCAATTGTAGTATGAAAGGATCAGTGATCTTTGTTTTAATAAAAGACAGATTGAATTAATAAAAATTTATAAAATTGAAGCTGAAACTGAAATTAGATTCTAAAAAGATCATTGATCGATTGATAAAATAAGATGAAACTTTATCAACAACAATTTGTTAAAAAGATTAGCGATCAAAATAGATCTAGTTACCATTAAAGTCTAAAGAGATCGGGCATTTAAGCTTAAATTGCAGTTAATGAAATAATCTTTCAAAAAGAACAGTGATCGTATCCAAGGATAGAAGGTATTTGATCGGATTGAAACTAGAGTACGAAAAGATCATTCATAGAAGTTTAATTTGTTGAATTTAAATCAGAATAAAAACGATCTATTACTTTGAGCTGATCTTGAAGCGATCGATAGACGTGAGTCGCCTACTTTGTAATACCGAAAGTATTAAGAATTCAATACTGTTGTTGTTGTACTCGTAATGTGTGATATTTCTTATGGTTGTTATTGTTTTAAAGTGTGTTGTTTTTTTAACAGACACGAACATTGTCTGTTTTTTGTCTCAAGTCTCTAGGGTTCGTTTTGACTTTAATTAATTTATTGTTTTTAAACATGTTTGAAAAAAAAAACAAACTTGCATTTGACCGACCAAACGATCGATTAGATGAGCGACTGTGTGTATACATATGATGATCTTTTTACAAAATAAGGGTCCGGTCTGTGGCTTTGGTTCTGATTTGATTTTATTTGATTTGTTGAAATTGTTTTGTGTTTGTATATTGAAATTAAAAAAAAATAATAATAATAATAATAAGAATTAAACGAGATTTCGTGATCGCCATAAATTAATTGTTTTAATAAAATATTGTGTTTGTATTTGAACTTTGTTGACTTTATCAATAAAATGAAATTTTTAATAATATAGAATTTGACCAATATATGTTCAAATAATAACCATAATTTATATTCATAAAAAATCAATGTGTTTTTTTTTTGGTTGTCTGCAATTTGATTTGTAGATTTTGATAAATTATTGACAATTTTCTTAATTAAATGACAAATTAAAAAAGGGGTGGTTTTTAATGGTTAATCTAAATAAAACTAATATTTTCAGGATATTGTGGAAGTTGATCAGCAATTAAAGATAAAATTTGTTGCTAGAAAGATCTGCAGTAAACTTAAATAGGAGTATAAAAATATCACTGATCGTAAATAAAATTTGTTGCCAGTTATATCTAAGATCTGGCCAAGATTAAAGTATGAAAAGATCAGTGATCGTTGATGTGATTGGATTTTAATTGGTTGATTACAAGATCTTCTATTAATGCTGAAAAGTTCAACAATTAAAGATAAAATTTTGTTGCCAAATAGATCTGTAATAGACTTGAATTGGTGTATAAAACGATCAGCGATCGTTGATAAAATTTGTTGTCAGTTGAACCTAAGATCTTGCTAACATTAAAGTATGAAAAGATCAGTGATCGTTGATGCTATTGGATCTAATTGTAAACGCAAATTAGAGTCTAAAAAGATCAGTGATCGATGCTAAACTTTAAACTAAATGTTTAAATAATTTAACACAAATTGCTTTAAAGATCAGTGATCGATTTGGCTAAAAGTGAAGTCTAAAAAAGATCAGTGATCAAATCTATGGTTTATGAAACATCTGACATAAATTGGGAGTCTATAAAGATCAGCGATCGATGCTTAATCTATTGATTAAAGAAACATAAACTAAATTAGTAATAATGTATTGAAAAGATCAGTGATGGAAACAAAAATTTTTTGACGAATACATCGTTATTTCTATAAATTTATTCTGTCAATGACAAGTGGGTACTACAAGATTCTTTAAAATAATAATAAACTATTAAACAATCGTAATAATTTGCTTACATTTAAATAAACTATTAAATAGTTAATAAAATCATTATAAAACAATACAACAATTTATAAAATTAAAAAAATGTTAACAACAAATGTCATAACATAAACAACACTGGGGAAATAAAACTTTAAATTTTCGCTTATCAAATTTCAAAATCTT